CTTGCTACCCAGTACAGCCAGGAGATGTGTGCTTGTCCTAAACTCAGCCAACCCACTGGTTAGAACTTTGATTCTTAAACTCTTGCAAGGACACAAAAGAACAGCGGCTGGTCAGTGCCATCCCAACCAGTTCTTCCAACTACAAAACAGATGCTGTCTTTCTAGCTTTCATTCTCCAGAGCTCCTTGCTCCCTTCTCAAACATGTTTCTCAAACATGTTTCCCCAGACTCATAGCAATAGTTTGCTTATAGTAGCCAGAGTGAAGTCTTGCTACATCCCTATGGAGATTGCAGTTCCCAAGAAATAACTGTGGGGAAAGAGAGTCCATGAGGTAGTTGGGAAAGTTACAGTTAATCTTGGACTATCTCCTTTACAAGAAAGCACTGGTAGGTGGTCTGACTGTTTGCATTTCTACTTCTTCCCTCTCACTATGGAAGGTGTATACTTCTTTATCCCATCGATATTGGCTTGGCCATGTGGCTTGACTGACCAATAGAATGAAATTGATGAGTACCATGTCTGAGCAGAAGCTTTAAATAGGATTTGCCAAAATTTGCCAATTTTGCCACATATATATGTGTGTATATATATATATATATATATAACTTTATATGTATATTTTACTTTATCCAGTGCATTCTTCCACCAACACTGTTCAAACCTATGATATGTTCACTTGCTTCTTTAGCCTACTAATTCATTTGGCTTTGAGCTGTGCGCTCTTGAAATCCATCCTTCACACAACTGTCAGTGATGTCAAACCTAATCTTGTCTAAGGCCACAGATGGTTCCCTCTTCCCTACATGGCATTTGAGCGCCACGATGACCTGCCTCCTACATATTCCTCCAGCCTCATTCCTGGCCACTCCCAGCTTCCCACTTTATGGCCAGCAACACTAAATTACCTGATACATCCTGAACACTTCACCATGCCTTTTTTCATTTTGTCCCCTTAGCCTGTCTTCCCCTCTCTCCTAATTTTTGTCCAAGTAATTTCTGTTTGATTCTCCAGGTTCAGCTCAATGTCAGTGCTTTCAGAAAGTCTTTCTACTAGTACTTCACTGGCATGCACTTGCCCTGAGCTTCTTTAGTGCACACACCTCTGACACTTTCCACATTGAGCTGAAACGATTTGTCCGGTATCAGTCCCTCCAATGCATTGCCATCACCTGGAGGACAGGGATGGTGTCTTACTCATCTTTGTGTCCTCAGAATAAAGCATGAAGTCTGGCACACAGTAGGTATTCAACACATGCTCATGGAACTAAAATAAACCAAATAGATTAACCGTTAATATGAGGATACTGTGAGCAGTCCCATAGCCTGCAGCTTGGATTCTTACAAAGCTAATGGCATTACAAAGCGGTTCTTCCGAAAGCAATATAGCAACGTGGAACAAAAACCGTGAAAATGTTTGTTCTCCTTCACCTGGTATTCTTCCTGTTTGTATTCCCTAAAGAAATAACCCAAAGAGGAGAAGTTCCCATAGATGTTCCCATGGCAACTGTAGTTATAATAGCTATAAAAAACTGGAAGCAATCCAAGTGTCCAATAGGGAAGTGACTAAACAAACAATGGGATTATTACATAGCTGTTAATAATGACAAGAGGTGAGGACTATGTCAACACAAAGAAGTATGTATCTGCAGGACCGTTAAGTGGGAAAAAGAACACAGAGCAGTGTTTAAACACTAGTGGTTAAGGATATGTGTGTACATTAACAAAGATCATAGGCTGATTCGAAGAGAAGAAAGCAGCTGCAGTTTAGTGTTCACTGGGTCTTTTTTTTCTGCACAGGCCATGAGCTCATGACAATCCTAGCTGAGATGTCCTGCCACATAGACAACCTGGGGGTCCTCTGCAGATTACGGGCTCTCACTCAACCTCCTTGGTGTATATTCCAAGAGATAATTTCATGCTAAATTCTCATTGAATTATTACAAAAATAATGACATTTCTTTAAGAGAACAACATACCTTTCTTTAGTTTTATTCAATGAGCAATTTTGAGAGCTTAACAGTGTGCAAGAGCATTTACAATCGCATGAAGTTTACAGAAACTATGGGCAGAATCCTCAGGCGGATGTGTGCTATTTTTAAATTATTTTTACTTGAGTTGACTGTACATATTAGGACCTATTGCAAAGGTAAATCTGAAAGATCTTTGCCCTAAACCTCACATTCACAAATTGTCTCGATTTTATACTTTTGATGTTGTCTCCAAAAGGGGTCTTATATATAGTCACTGAGATATACTGATAAAAATTAAAATAGAAAGGTCATCATTATGTAAGTCTAAAGCTATGTCACATTAGCACAAATCTAAAGCTATTGGCATTCATATTTTATAAATCCTGTGATCGTCTTGTGAATTGTGAAATATTGACTTTGCCAGATATATTACATTGTAATTAAAAAATAAACCACAATTTTTATATCTTGTTTCATAATTTCTTTATTATTTTTGAAAATTTACCCACAGCCTCAACAAATAGACATGGCCTAGGCTTCTCTAGATCTCTGGGAGGCCCTGATTATAATGATCACTTTATCTTAAAAATGTGATAGTTTTAACAAGGGACCCAAAGCAAATGTGTTGTTAATAGCCTAACTGTATAAACACCTAACTAATAAACTGCTCTCTACTAGCCATGTTTTTGTTGCCATGTGGCTAGTGGTCAGAAGATCCACACCTTCTAGAGCAGAGCTTCACAACCCTGTCTGCAGGTCAGAGTCCTGTACGCCTGCCCAGATGCCGCTCCAGAACTCCTGATTTAGACTCCCCAGGAACGACGTTTGGGGATTCCTGTGCTTAAAAATCTTTCTTCCTCTCTCCTTTCTTGCAAGGTATTTCCTAGGGGTCCAGGATTCAGAATTCCAGCTAGTATCGTTATAGATATAAATTAGGTACATCATGGATTTCATAGACCTGAAGGATAATCTGAGAGTCAACCACCTTTTTCAATGTAGACTCTCTGGGGTGATGTGTTATTAAGGGCCCCAAAACAATTTAAAAAGAAGTTTGATGGGGTGGTAAACATACAATACAATACACAGACGATGCACTGTAGACCTGTATACTTGAAACCTATATAATTTTATTAACATGTCACCCAATAAATTCAGCCTAAAAGAAAAAGAAATTTGAGGATGCAGTCCACAGGTTTGGTTTTTTTTTTGGCAAGGTGACTGCCCACATAAACCTTTTGATTAAATGACCATTATTCCTTAAATTTCTTATAGTGCTTAAATGTCTGAAAGTAAGTGCAGAGTGAAAAGGTTACAATTCAAGTGTCTGTTCTTGTGAAAAATGGCAAGTACCTGATTTTTGCAGGCAGTAAACCTTCAGCTAACTCACATCGTCAAATGACTGGATTCTGTTTGCTGCATGGAGATGCGGAGATGGAGCAATGGGTTTACAACACAGAGGAAACAAATTCCTCACGATGTGGGCTGAAGTCGGTGCACATACAGTCCATCCTCCTGCACTAGCTCTGTGCTATGACCACTGATGCTCTGAACATGAAGACTCTCTGTGTATCCCATCATAACTCCTCCTCCATGGAATACAGATTTAACTGTGTTCATCTAAACCCAACACGTGTGCGCACACACACACACACACACACACACACACAAATGCCCAGGGAAGTTGGAGGAGCATATGAGAATTGAAGAGTCAGAGTCCTGTGTCTTTTTGCCCATTGCATCCCTGCTCTCAGTTCACCCTTACATTCCATTTAGAGTGTTAATGTCTATGGGAACATATTTTCCCACCTCTTATCTCAATAGTACAGGTGTGTACTGAAGGTATCTTGATGAAGGTTATATTTATCCTTTGAGGAGCTCCAGAATACTTGGCAATGGACCACATTTAGAAAAATCAAGTTCAAAAGGACTGTGGTTGTGAGTAGTAGCAAATGGTGTTGTGTTGATAAATACAAACTATAGTTGTAAAGGTAAAAAAATTTAATTTTGTTCCAGAAAGATATGGCTGTTAAGGCTTTCCAGGTGAACCAGAGAGTTGAGACGATAATTATTTAACGGAGAAGCAAATTTGGCCTTTCTTATTCCAAGGTGAGGGTTAGGAGAAAGATGATGCACTGGGGGCCCTGTGGTCAGGGCTGAAAGCACCCATAGATGCTATACTTGCTTTTTCCCTCCTGAGTTACTCATACAACTGCCCTTCAAGCTGTGCTTCATTAACCTGGGGATAGAATCCATTCATTTAACTATTGCACGGACTACAATCGCTACTTCAAATGAAAATCCGGGAAGTGGAATCCCTGCTGCTGTTGAGAGTATATAATTAGCTCCTTCTGCAGCCTGACCCCACAGACTTTTCTGACGCACTTGGCCTGCAGTGTGCCCTTTCTGAGACCTCCAGTATCTTCTCCACAGCTGGAGAAGCCCCAAACTGCACGCAGCACTTCCTGTGGGTGTGGCCTTGTAGCTTTTTTTTTAAGGCTTCATGCTGATTGGATCACGAGTTTCAACTACTCACAGATTCACAATGCTTTTTCAAATACAAGAGTGGGCTATAAGTGGTTATATCAAACATGAGTTCCCCCTCCCCTTTTCTTTAAAAAAAAAAACGATTTCATAATTGCTGCCTCACAAGAAACACTAAAATTGGTCGGCCTGGGATGTGTGTGATGTCTTCCCAGATAACGTCACTGGCTATTCTCAGGAGAGGAAAGGCAGGGTATACCCTCCTGGGAGAATGACAACACTTGTTTCAAGTTGGGGGAACAGCCTGCTGTTCTTTTCCTGCGTTTGGGTGAGAGCGAACACACAATGTTCATTTCCTAAATACGGGATGTGCTGTGCGCCTGGAAGGTCATTTTCCACCATGTCACATCCTTCTGGATGAAGGCAGCAGGGGCCGGGACAGGAAAGGGCAAATTCTCCGAATGAGACAAGGCTTTCCCAGGGCAGTCATTGGTTCCCTGGAACTATAAAGCATGCTCATCCAGAAACGGCCTCAGATTTTTCTTTCCTGGAGGTAGCCAGAGGTGGATGGTAAGTGGGGAGCCTAGAGGGATGCAGTCTGAAAACTTGCCATTGGACTTGTAACACTGGGATTATATCCTTGGTCCATTATATATTTTGAATGACTTTTCCTCAGTTTGCTAAGAGATGTCCTTACTTGTAAACTTAGCACTGGTGGGTGGAATTATGGAGGCATGCAAGCAAAATTAAGACTTAGGAGGAGTCAGGAGACCAAGATTCTAGACTTGGCTCTGTGAAGAATTGGCTGCATCTAAAAGTTGTCTGTCAATTTCCTCATCGTTCTGATGGGAATGATGATTTCTGCCCTGATATCTCACAGGATTGAAATGCTCTATTTCTATGGCTTATTTGCCACTTTTAAGGAGTTCTTGATAATGATGAGCACAGTGGATATGAAGGTGGGAATTTCTGGCAACTAGGAAGGATACGCTTTCACCCCAGGCTGTATAGTTCTGTTTGATTGCAGTCATGTGCAGTTGGCTTTAATTCAACTTGGTACAAGGTTTGCCCTCAGTGAGTTGTTAAACAAAACATTGGTGTGACTTTATCTTAATTCCATCATTATTCATTTTGAAAAGGAAGCTTTTATAATAAAAAGATATAGTGGTATTAATTTAATTTAATTTTAATTAAGTACCCATCAAAGAGGGAGAACTGATGACCTCTAGTTAGAATAAACAGTGGAAACCATATCTTAGGCTTCATTCTGGTTTTCAAACGTGGTTTTCGCTCTAAGACAAGAGTCTGGAATAAGCAGAAGAACTGCTGGAGGCAAGCATCTAACTTAGAAAGATTCGTTTCTTACATTGGATAGACAGTATGATTTTTGAGTTTTTGGTGACTTGCCTTTTTCACTCACGGGGGGAGGGGGCTGTATTACAAGACTCTTAGGATCCAAGTCATAGAACAAAGGGATTTTGTATACAGGTACAACCTCCCGCTTATAAAGTATTATCTTCCAAACGGAGCAGAGACCTGAGTATTGCAGGTGTTAGAAGCCTCCTTCTGGCCTCACTGAATTTACATCTTATATAACGAATAGTTAATAAAGTCCATCCTTAGCGCTCCCTGGGAGAGAAAGCATATGCGGATTCAAGGTTCTGAGAATTTGTGTGTCCTGTCCCAGATCACAGAACTGATCTTTGAGAACTCCGTACATGACTCATTGGAAAATGACCCGTTTCCCCTCGCGTGGCAGAAGCTGCTGTGTTTAACTTTTGCCGAATGTCCATTTGCCTGCGGGAACCGCGACTGGGAGCGGCTGTCAGTCACGCAAACCCCGGAATAACTGCATGTCTCTGTGCCCGCAGGACATGGAAGGGCCGACTGGCTGGGAGCCGCAGGGCGCCGAAGCGCTGCGGCGGTTCCAGGGGCTGCTGATGGACCGCCGCGGCCGCCTGCACGGCCAGCTGCTGCGCCTGCGCGAGGTGGCCCGGCGCCTCCAGCGCCTCCGCCGACGCTCCCTGGCGGCCAGCGTGGCGGGCAGCTCGCTGAGCGCCGCGGGCGCCGTGGCCGCCATCGTGGGGCTCTCGCTCAGCCCGGTCACCCTGGGGGTCTCGCTCCTGGCGTCGGCCGTGGGGCTGGGGGTGGCCACCGCCGGCGGGGCCGTCACCATCACGTCCGACCTCTCCCTGATCTTCTGCAACTCCCGGGAGGTGCGGAGGGTGCAGGAGATCGCGGCCACCTGCCAGGACCAGATGCGCGAGATCCTGAGCTGCCTCGAGTTCTTCTGCCGCTGGCAGGGCCGCGGGGACCGCCAGCTGCTGCAGAGCGGGAGGAACGCGTGCATGGCCCTGTACAACTCCGTCTACTTCATCGTTTTCTTCGGCTCGCGCGGCTTCCTCATCCCCAGGAGGGCCGAGGGGGCCACCAAAGTTAGCCAGGCCGTGCTGAAGGCCAAGATTCAGAAACTGGCGGAGAGCCTGGAGTCCTGCACGGGGGCTCTGGACGAACTCGATGAGCAGCTGGAGTCGAGAGTCCAGCTCTGCACGAAGTCCAGACGTGGCCACGACCTCATGATCTCTGCTGACCAGCCCTCAGCGCTGTTTTCCTGAGAACATCCTTTCTCCTAATGACCGAGGCCAGAAACCATTCCTGTGGGATGCTCCAGATATGTAGCTCCCTCAGGAAAACACTAAGCTGTGTTAGGAGCTGAGTGCAAAGGATGAGAAAAACTGTTCTTGAAGCGGAGGGTTCTCACAGCCCTTCTTTTCCCATCACTGTGACATCCTGCTAAGGATAAGTGCTAGAAACTGTTTACTTGCCTGATCCTAGTAGAATATGTGACCTGAAAACCATTTCTTCTCTACACAACTGCTCAGTCTTCCTGTCACTGGGCACTCCAGTTTCAATTGTTGGGTGGACCCTGGGCCTGCCCTGGAGGTTTGAGCTGAGGATGCAGAGGGAGCAGACTTAATCACCCTCTGGGTCCTCTCCAAGCCTTACTGGGCTTGGAGGTCCTCCTCAGAAAGCCTGTGGGAGGAAACATAAGCTTTAAAATCTGTCTTTCGGAGTTTCTGAGTACAAAGACCTCCAGAATCCAGTAAAGTGACCATCTCTGAACAGTATAGGAGGGTTCAGGGCCCAAGAGAGGCCCTGCCCTCTGACATGCCCTCCTGCCCCCCACCCCTCTTCAGCTATCCATTCACAGATCCAGCCTGAGGCTGGAGTGGACCTTCCTGGGTGGCTTCGTATCCAGGCTCTGAGAGGGGAAACCAACCATTCATCTAAGTACTGCTTCTCGCAGGAAGAAACTGAGGCCAAGGAAGATGAAGTGACTATAGCCTTATTTACTGACATCGTAGTGTAGAGACGAGAGCAATGGCTTTGAGTTAGACAGTCCTGGGTTTATTACAGACTGTCACTACTGTGTGACTTTGGCCAATTAGTCTCTCTGACTCTTGGCTTCCTGGTGGGTAAAAGAGAGATGCTAAAACCTTACTCTGTTTTGAGTCTTAAATGAGATAAAGTGCCTAGTGCCTAGCAAAATGTCTGGCTCACAAAGAGCAGCCCCTGGTCTGGCAGCATCGGCAGCACTAGGGAACTGGTTAGAAAGGCAGATTCTTGAATCCAACCTCTGACTTACAGAATCAGAAACTCTGGAGGTGGGGCCCAGCAACCTGTATTTAAACAAGCCCGCAGGGGGATGCTGATGCCTGCTAAGATTTGAAGGAAAACCACTGCAACAGATGTTAATTTCTGATCCCCTCGATGAGCTTTCACAGAGTCTTATGGCCTCTCTCTAGGGGCCCCATAGTCTTCAGAATCATTCACTGAAGGTCAAGGAAGGACTGTGCCCCAGAAATAAAGAATGTGTGGGCACTGGCCAAGGCACCTGGGGCAGCTTCCCACCATGTTAACTAAGGGATGTAACACAAGCCCTATAGAGGGCAGTGTTGTCCACTCATTGTAGAAACTGGTACAGAAAGGAATGTGAATTTATTGGAAATCGACCTTGATTGCCTTCTCTGAAAACTGCCAGACCATGTATTTTTTAATTTATTTTAAGTTTTTTAATTTAATTACTGTTCATTATTTGCTTCTAATTTTATTTAATCATCACACTTAGAAGATAATAGGAATAGCAAGTGCCTGAATGGGAGACGACTGAGGCTCTTTTCAGGAGAAGAGGTTGAGTTTGACTTTCTGAGGCTGGCCATGAGCTCTCCATGGATAAGTCTCCCTCCTTCCCACCTGAAGGAAATGTGAGAAGTTGTGAATAGAGAGACCGGAGCTCAGTGTAAGCTTACCAATGGGGGCTTGACTTGCAGAATATACAAGTGGTGCGGGCATATTTAACCTGAAGGTACTTTGCCAGCAGATAACACTTGATCTGAAAAGAGAACCTACTGAGCTCAGGGTTCTGAACTACTTTTCAGGAAAAAAATTAAAGGCATGGGAAGGAAGCACTTAGACCTTGGAAGCCTGATGTCCTGTGAAGTTATGTCTTAGGGGAGACAGAATAGCTTGTGCAATGGCGGTGATGTGTCGTATTTTTATGTAGGGAGCTGTGAGAAATCTGTAAGCTTCTTCTGAAAAAATATACTTTCTATAATTTCCATTTCTACAACTTCAGTGTTGAAAAGCATGTTGAAAAGTCTTTGGGACCACACACACAATACGTAGCTGTATTTCTTAATTATTTAATATACTTTTAATTTATTCCATTTTCTCCCAGGCTTCCCAATGATGGCAGAATGCCTGAGGAAGTATAATTTTAGTGTTGGGGGGAGTTGGTTAGTGGTTCTGCATGTTAATTTGTTCTATAAATTTCAATCGATCTGTATCCAGGTTTATTTTCAGTTTGGTCCTGGTTTCTTTTCAACTGGTGTCATTTCCTAGACTATCTTGCATAGACGCTAGCATTTTAGGTTGCCAGAATGTACTTCACATTGTCATTTGTGTTCTGTCTCAAAGGTACAACCACTCCCTAACTCCATCTTCTATTAATGCTTAAGTTTGAATTCTATTCTCCCAATGCCTGAGCTGTTCCCTAGCAATGAACTGGGCACTTTCGGCAGCAGCAGTGAACACTTCCTGTCGTTGGGGTATCGGGAATCTGTCCAAGTCCTGGCCCTCCTGAAGTTTTCAGTGGCCCACTTTACATCTAAGGAAGAGTGTCTACTTTGGAACAACGATGTGCACATAACAGGAGCTCAATAAATGCATTGGAATAATTTAATAAGCTGCTTAGCTGTGTTAACAGAAATTCGTTGATAATGAAAGGCCACCCGTCCTCCACACGTCTGTTATAAAGATTGGAGCTTCTATCAGGATTTAGTCAAGTTCAGTTCAATGAATCCTAGAGACAAATATTTATTTATTTATTTTGTGGAAACGTGAATAAGGCTTTTCCTTAAGGCCTACATTCTATGAACAGATTGAAATGGTATGTTGTAAAGGGAAGAAGGGAGAAGGGTATTTAGGTCAGAAGTGTACTTCGGAAAATGGTCCCAATTTTGAAAAATAAATATGTTTATACTAAAGATTTAAGTGCTTCTTGTAGTTTCTAGGTTTTACAGTCATTTTGTTTCCCAATAAAGGAGACTCAATAAAAATGCATTCTGCTCTAGTAAAAAAAAATTCTTAGCAAACATTCTGATTCTAACTGCTTTGGTGCATTTACTGTCAGGCACCTGTCATTTCCAACATGGTAAATGTCAAAGTCACGAGTGTGTATGGAAAGAAAAAAGAGAACAGTGGTGTAGAAGCCACTCTTGACCAGATATGTCCAACAGTCAACTTGATAATAGTTTGCATTCAATACCTTGGTGTGAACAGGAAGAGGGAATGGAGAAATTGGGATAAAGACACTATGCAGAGACAAATGGGGTGTAGTTAAATGCAGAAATCTTTGGGTTGCATGGTTTTTTTCACTGCAGCAAAATTAGTTTTCTCTTTATTGAAATGAATTGCCTACGCCTCAAACATTTTAGAAAAAGATTTTATTTATTTACTTTTAGAGAGAGGGGAAATGAGGGAGAAAGAGGAGAGAAGTGTCATTGTGAGAAAGGGTTGCCTCTCTTACACACCCTGACCAGGGACCGGACCCACAACCCAGGCGTGTGCCCTGAGGACCTTTCGCTTTGTGGGACAACACCCAACTGACTGAGCCACACCGGTCAGGGCAAACTTTTTGATCTCTGTAATTAATCACCTAATCTCAAGTTTGCCTGTGTATGAATTGATAACGTTGGACAAGAGCAGGTATTTAATAATTAATTCACTTAGAATATTCAGTATCAAACTGTAAATCAGTTTTTAAAAAGTAACCAACTCATGTACAGGAATACGCTCATAATCTAGAAATCAGACTTCCGGCACTTTCAAAATCATTGAATGTAATTACCACCTGGGAAGTAATCAAAAGGAAATTCAGGATTAGCTAAATTAGTCTTCAGAAAACCAGGAGAGAGGCAGAAAGGGAGGGCAAGGGGTAGCATCTGTATTAGGAGGCAAAATTATCCCACAATGGAGACTTCACCATGCAAGTCACGGACCTTGACTGTAAGATAGGCTGGGAAATGCAGTAATTTTTAACTGAGAATTGGCTAATCTCAATATACCTAGACTTCTGTTTGTAAGGAAGAAAAGGAAGGTAGACACAGGGTAGGGTGTCCAGGGATCCAAACAAAGAGCCTGTAGTGGTTGCTACATTCGGTTAAGAGCTACTGCCCTGGAGATGATCTCCCAGAGTGGCAGGCTCTAGTCTCCCCACCTTGGAAGTATCCCTGGGTCCGATGTTGCACCATTAGTGAGTGTGCAACCAAGAAAAAAAAAGCCGTGTTGGCAAGACCCTGACTGTGTTTGCAAAGGCCAGCCACAAGCGGGAATCCTGTTTTTGCTGTAGCATCTGCATTCCTGTCATAACAAGTGCTCTTTTAGTTAATTGCAATAAATCTTTCCTTGTTGAATTGACAGGAGGTGTGGATGTTAAATTTTTGCTCCTGGCAAACTCGGGTAAATCCTGCTGTGGTCTGGAATAAAACAAAGAAAACATCTGGAAATGACCCCTCAGCAACCGTAGAGTTGTTAGGGGAGGGGAAATTGTGCTGATGGAGCAAGACCCTTCTAGGGACCAGAAAGAAACTTTAGGGACGCTCCAATGTGGTCTCGAAAGGACAGGGAAAGCTCGTCTATAGGAAGCTACATCTGCAGAGAATGATGTTTAATACCATCTCATATTTCCAATGTAACCCCAGGGGCGGGAGTGCAGGCAGGCCTGCGAACTGACTTGCCCCGAACTTTAACAACCAGTCACAGCCCAGGCCTCTGCCTCCCAACCACACGGAAGTCATAGCAAGGCTTGTTCTGGGGTTTGTGTGGATACAGTTGCCTAATTTACCCAAATCGTTGTCATTGGAAGAAGTTTTTTGTGTAGATGGAATTAGGGAGGAGGGGCGGTGTCTAAAACCTTTCTTTTAGGCTAAACATGTCTATTTCTAGGCTCCCTGGTCGACATGTAGACATTTGTTCAGCCCGCCCCTTGTTGCTGAAATTGCACCGTCAAAATGCCCTTGAAGAACAATACTTTCCTCGGTGCTAAAATAAAATGACATTTAAGTAATAAATATAGAAAATAAATGTGGATATTTAATGGTAATAATTGGTAACATTTATTGAAAACTGACTAGGTACTGTTCTAAGTACAATTTGACATGTATTATCACATTTACAAAAATCTTACGAGGAGGAGACTGTCGTTACCCCATATTGTTAGATAAAGAAAGTGAGAGAACAGAGAGGGGACACAGCAGCCCCAGAACTTGAATCCTGGCAGGCTGACTTTGGCGTTATTCTCTTAGCTCTTCTCAGAGTAACTTTTTTCCTAAGATAAACTAATAGCTCATGATAGTGGCAACATTAATAATGAACTGACAGATTCATTTCTTCATCCAGAAAACATTTATTGAGTGTTCACCTTGTGCTACCTACTCTCACTTGTGAGCAATGCAGACAGGCTTCTAGACAGATCCATGGCACTAACAATCTGGAAATCTAGGCAGGGAATTTTATGGCAATAGGTGAAGCACTAAGAAATTAAAATATCATTTTGCAAATGGCTAGTATTTGGGGAAAAAAAAAAAGCAATGTGGGAGCAATGTGAAAAGGATCAGGCTTCAGCTTTGGTCATAAAAGCCTGTACACAGATATTTTGTAACACTGCCTCAGAGGCTCTGAACACGCCAAGATTCTTGGGAACGAAACACCTGCAAGGAGAGGACGTGATTAATAACAACTTTTTGCTAACTGCTGGCTGCTGCGCTGGGGCGGAAGGCATCCACAGACGGCACACATAGAAAGGAAGGAATGACTGGTTCGGCAGGCCAGTCCAGATCTTGTATAAAAACCTCTGAAAATGAAACTTTGGGGTCATTCCATTGAAACTGTCACTGAACCTGCCGGTCGGTTTTCTTCCTGTTAGGAGTGCGTGCTCAATTTCAGCATGATAGCCACGGCCTAGAACTGCAGGGGACTTGTGGGTGGGGAAGCAGGTGTGAGTAGGAATAAGACTTTAGGTATCATAAAGCTTCAGAATAGCAATGCTGTGTCTGTGGGTGATTTGCTTTCAACACTGGTCCCCAACCTTCTGCACAGTGAACACTGTGCATTGCTGGACTTTCATTCTTTCTAACTTCTCGGTAGCATTTGACATGGTTGACTACCCGGTTCTGAAAACACTTTGCTCTCCTGAGGTCTGTGACATTGGCCCTTCTGATAGGCCTCTCTTTGTAGCTTTTCTTTCTCCTCCATTGGTGACCTTCAGGCGGTCCCCGAGTCTCAGGCCCAGGCTGCTTTCCCTCCTCCCTCCTGTGCGCGCAGTCCCTCTGTGAGCCCCTCACGTCCATCCCTTGGCTTTCACCAGTCCAGGGCTGGAGGCTGGTGTGCATGAAATCAGTGCTGAAAGGATTCTCTTAGGTGAATTTGAATTTGTTGAGTATTCGATGAGATGAAAGCAAAGGTGAAGGTCATTGACTGAGGAAAGCAGGTTGCAGGGAACAAGTACAAAGAGGAAAGTCCTGGCTGTATTCCCTCCACCCCAGTCCCCCCACTGGCGTGCTCCACTTTCATTTCAGCCAGACGGGGGCTTGCTCTCATCTGGATATGTAACAGCAATCTGCTCGAGTCTCTTATGCAAACTTATCACCCCCTGCCTTTTATTACGGATGTTTGTGCCTCCCCCAAGGCTTTTAAGGACAGAAGCAATATCTCAGTTGTCATTTGGCCTTCCCGTGGCGTCTCTCCAGCTTCTGCCGTCGGACCTGCTCCATGAGCATTGCCTGAATGAACAAATGAACAAGCACTCTTCACTCCCACGGGTGTATTGGCATTGCTTCCGAGCACAACCGAAGCTCAGCTGTACACACCTCCTCATCTGTAAAACTGGCCTGGTTTCACCACCCTTGAAATCTCCAAACACTCCCTGCCTTTCCTCTCTGACAGAGCTTCGCCAAGGTCTGTCCTTCCGGGTGAATGTCTCTCCCAAGCACCGTGATCCCTTCCACTGCTGCCATATCCCATGCAAGCATTGGTCCCCCTGACCTCTGAGACGACCATCGAGCTGGTTTCCCCGACTCCAGGTTCTTTCTGCTCAAATTCATGCTACACTCCAGTTTTTGATTCATGTACACAAACATGGATTTTCTCATATTCCAGTCACATGGAATGCAACCTTGCCTAAAACCGGACTCTGAATTTGAGTACACACCCAGAAGGGGCTGAGTTTCTACGGTGTTTGTGCTATTTTAACAGTGTATTGTGATGGGTGATATTATGAAGGGCTAAGATGAACTAAGGTGAACTTCTGTGGTTTTAATAAAAACAACAACAACAATGATGTAGTCTAGGGACGTTACAAAAAAAAAAGCAGAGTCAGGAAGAAAAGGACCAAGGGTGGAGGCAGGGGGAGGAAGGTGCAAAGCAGAGGGAGAGTGGGAAATCAGGCCCCCAGCGGGAGGGTGTGAAACTGCAGGCCTCGTGGTCCTGCGTGACCTGGAGAGAAAGATCAGACCACTGCACGCCACGAACGCAAACTCTTTGCAGGACCTTTACTGGGGAAAAACGGAAGCAGAGAGAAAAGGTCATTTGACATGTTGAACCTGACCTCTCACCTCCATGCACTCTTCAATGTCTTTTCTTCACTAGAACATACATATTCATAACACATTATAATTCATAGCTAATGGTAAATAATGGTTCAAGATAATTTTGTGAGTGATAAAGTTTGCATTCACTCCCTCTTGATGAATATAGAACACTTTGTTATAAGTGAACTTTCTCCCAGGCTAGAGGATATTCCGTTTCTAGGAGGATTTTGAGCAGAAGCTGATGAATAACTGATTCCTGTGTGATCCCTCCGCAGCAGCACACTTGTTCCGAGTTTTGGTCCAGGAGCCACCACCGTTCTAGGATGCTCGCACCCCACACTGCCCAGCGTTCCTGACCCACTGAAGACTCCACCACGGTCCTCGTGCTCTTCCCTAATCCCACCAGGCAGGCCAGTGACGGCGTTTAGCACTCACCATACTTTCACAGGCCCACCAAAGTGGTTTTAATGTCTTTCAAAACCAATAGCAAAAACAAACTTTTAAGTAAAAAAAGTCTAATTGATAATATTAATATGTATTTTTAAAGATTATATTTATTTTTAGAGAGAGGGAAAAGGAGAAAGAGAGAGAAAGGGATGGAGAAAAGGAGGTAGAGAAGCATTGATGTATTAGAGAAACACCAATCAGTTGCCTCTCACACACCCCCCCTGGGGACCTGGCCTACACCCCAGGCACGTACCCTGACCTGGAATTGAACCGGCGACCTTTTGTTTCTCAGGCCAGTGCTCAATCCACTGAGCCACACCAGCCAGGGCTAATTTATAATATTAATATATTTGTCTTTTTCCTGATGCAGCCATAAAGTGTAATTTTTATGTGTGTGTTGGAAGGGGCCCATGAAAGCAGAGACACTTTCAGAGTCTGGTGGGGTCGGTCCCTTTAACCTTTCACTCTGAAGCCTGTACGTTGTTTCAAGCTTCCCGCCCCACCCCCGCCGTCATTTGTAGTTCACTAGGATTTCCTGTGTAACCTTCCTCATTGTTCTGGAAGCACAGGATATGACACGTGTCCGTTACTAGAATGGAACCTCTAGTATTTTTACGACCAGAATGTAAATGTCCCAATGACTCCAAACCTGGTAGGAATAGTCAAAAGCAGGCCCTCCTCTCAGCTGATGCAGGCTTCCCTCTTTGGAACCCACCTGCAGTCCCCTGTTGGTCTGACGTGAACCCCGTCGCCCACCTGCCTGTTGTTGGTTGAGGTCCTACCCTTGCCGGTGCCCTGGACCAAGGCATAGAGTGACGCTGCTGCCTTCGTCATCACACTCCTCAGGGACACTAGCACCAGAGGAAGTGCTCAATATAGCTGTAGCTGAATTATCCAAGAACAAGCAGAAAAGATTTTCGCTTGGCTAACACGGACAGAGTTTTATAGTGTAATAGCAGTTGGGTGAGTTAAATCCTTTTGGAGCAGCACCAGATTTGCGGAAATCTGCGTGTGATTTTCTTTCTTTCTTTCCTGTAACACATTTTAGACAAAATGTGGGTAACTTTAGACCGTTTTATAGCCTTTCCAGCTGATGTCACCTGGGTCCCCTTCTCGGGCCTCAGCTCCGCTTCCCTCACTCCCCAGGCAGCCTTTCACTTTCTCTCAGCACTTCCCATTTCCCATTCTTCTCTCCTACATGAAATCAGACAGTGAGTCTCAGGGAAGCAAAATCAACACTTCAGCTGCTTTTCTGTTTTTATAGAAAAAAAATCTGCGTGGCAGAGGAATTCTGAGTGTGACTGTGCAAGAGAAAACCGCAGGGTCTGGCCTGAGTCCGCCTCTCCGACCTCACCCTACCCGGCCCCGTTGTTGAGGACACCACTTGATTCCTAAACCAGAGGCTTTTTTCACGCTGGTGCTGGGAAGGTCCTCAGGCACACTGAGTTGAGTCCAGTTGCGTTGATAGTTCTCTGGTCAAGGCGCATTATCATTATCATCACAAGTCTCCTCTCTTGCTTTGCATATGTATCATCTTCAACCCCCAGTTCCCAGTTTCATCTCCATTCCTCTCCTTCCACAGGCAATAATTCTAAAATGTCTAGAGTGTATTTTTCTGTTTGTATGTGTTCCAGAAGAAGGTGGTATCTTGTGGACATATGTTTTCTTTTTCTTTTTTTAATATTTTATTTATTTATCTTTACAGAGGAAGGGAAGGAGAGAAGGAGAGAAATATCGGTGTATGGTTGCCTCTCATGAGTCCCCTGCTGGGAACTGGCCTGCAACCTAGGCATGTGCCCTGATTGGGAATCGAATCACCATCATGTGGTTCACAGGCCCACGCTCAATCCACTTAGCTACACCAGCCAGGGCTTCTTTTTCTTTTTTTGTGAATATATATTTTAAATGTATATAATATATTTTATACTTTTCTCACTCAACACAGGTTCTTGAGATACAGCCATATTGTTATGGGCATGTTCGCTCACACCACGTATACGTTTTCACTGTCTGCTCTCCCGGTAACAGACACCAGATTTCTTCCACTGTCCACCTCCAGAACACCCTGGCACTGTGTGAGAACCTGCATGCTGGGCACGGAGCATGCAATATACTTAATTTGCCTCAGCGATGATAGATTTCAGAACAGCCTCACCAGCTATACTCCCTTAGAGTCTTTGTATTTACTGTTCCCTCCGCCTGAAATAATGGTCCCCTGGGCTCTTGAAGGGACTTCGTTCTGCTGATCAGTGAGGTCTCAGCTCAAATATTGGAGAGGCCTTCCCCAATCTTGTAGTAATGACCCAAATCCGCCTTCCCTAAGTTCCACTATCATTTTTATTTCTATTTGTTAAATCATAGTACTCTTCATAATTTGAAAGGATCTATGATCACTTATTTACTTACTGTCTTTTCCACGCGGGTAGGGGTCGCCGTCCCTGTCGCTAAGCATCTAACATAGCTCTAGCACATAGTAGGCACTCAACAAATAGCTGAATAAAGGAATGAAATGATAATAAATACTTCTGTGATATTAACCTGTTTAAAACTTTGTGGTTAAAAAAAGTGGAACATAATGGATAGAGAAAGCTTTTTAAAAGGGACCCAAAGGGCACATCAGAGGCTCTGGTCATCAGTCCCCCCTGCCTTCGGCTCAATTCCACAAGTCACACGCTTACATCCATTCCTAACTTTTTCAGCATTTCCGCAAAGCCCCACCTCCTGGTCGGCTGTTGCCAAGCCCGGCAATCCCGCAAGGGGGCGCTCAGAACACGCCATTTAGGGAGAACTGCAACTACATTGACCAGCGTCCCGCGCGTCACCGACCCACTTCCGGAACCGTCGAACAACATGGCGGCGCCCGAGGAGCACAGTTCTTCAGCAGAAGCGCCCCAGCCGGGGTTGGAGGAGGAAGAAGCTAAAACATTTAAAGACCTGGTGAGGGTGGATGACACTGCTTTCTGTTTGTACTGCTGGCGCCAGGCGCAGGCAGAGACCTTGGATCTCTGCTGGTGGTATATAAAAGCTGGGCCTAGCTCTCCATGTTTGTATCCGACTGGGAGGTTGTACACGCGGCGTATCGGCTTATTCCATTTACTTATTCTGTAATATCTTGGGCTTTGGAATAGGATGAGCCAAGTTTGAATTCTGACCCAGTCTCCCACCAGAGGCAAGTTGTTAGCTCTCTGCGCCTCACTTTCCACATCTGTAAATTGGGGCAATACCTCGTAGACTCATGAGGATTAAATGAAATATGTGTACAGAACTTGGCTTTGTCCTTGGTGAATAGAAAGTGTTAAGTCTTCAGCTACTGTCTCATAACACTCATGAAGATGCCGACCGAGCAGGCAAACAATAGGTGCCATTTGAGTCAAAGTGTAAGGGATGCATGCACGTGTCAGCAGCAAGGTGGCTCTGAGAGTCTTCTAATTAGGAGGGGGGTGGCTGTGTGTTCTTTGCTAAAGTGTGTTCTTCTGAATTCGAAGGGTGTGACAGATGTGTTGTGCGAGGCTTGTGACCAGTTGGGATGGACAAAGCCCACCAAAATCCAGATTGAAGCTATTCCTTTGGCATTACAAGGTAGGTTGAAATTAAACATACGGCCTGGCATAGATTTAGTATGGAGTTCTACTCAAATGTTTACCACTTTTGAGAACTATTGCTTGCATACTGGAAGTGAAATAAAACTATGGTCACTAAAGATAAAAGTAGGTGGCTTATCGGGTTTTCAAAAAGTTCTCCGGTTTTACTGAGCTTACTTTCTGAAAGGGGATTTAGTGTTTGCAGCAGATGCTGACTTTAAGGAAGCACTGGATTTAAATGTATTAACGAGAAACTTGTTAGAAATTATGAAAAATAAGGGCAGATTTACATAAGGGTGCCAGGTATCTGTGTTATATAGAGAGGTGTTGAGAGCTCCTGCCATTAATTAAACATGCTTATCAGATTTGCAGAAGAGTGGCTGATGACTAGTGGGACTGAAACCAACAGAATGACTTTGATAGGAGTAGAGGGGAAAATTCCCAAAGCTGAACTTGACAGGATTAGGGTGGGTGGTAAAAGAGACCAAGAAGTGTTAACAGAAAGTCATTGAGACCCTCAGAGAAGGTTGAATGTAACCTTAGGTGCATTGCCGTAGGAGAAGGGTGACATTTTGGGGGTTTCCTATCCCTTTGAGAATCAAATAAAAATTAAAGAGTTTCTCCCTAGAAACAAATGTATGAATATATCTACACATAAAAGTTACACAGTATCCTGACTTCCTCTCTCACAAGTACCAGGTTAAGAACTGAACTAGCTCTGGAGGGAGAATAGTGCTTTGTGCTGTTTAGAACACACCTAGAATACTATGCTCAGTTCTGGGGATCATTGTTCAGGGACCAGCTGAGTGGCCATGAATGTGGTACAGTATCAAGCATAGCCACAGATAGTTCAAGGAACTGAGTGCATGTGGTCTGGAGGAGACTAATTTAGTTAGGGGGAGAGGTATGATAATTGGCTTTAATGCTTTGAAGTGCTGTTGTGCAGAAAAAGAATTAGACTTATTCTGTGAAATTCCATTTGCTCATTCCATAAATAGTTACTAAGTATGTGATACAAATATAAAGCACCAAGAGTTAAGATTCTGCCTTCTTCAGGAGACACTTACAAATTTATTACAAAGTTAACAGGGACATAAGAAAGTTATTTCAAAGTGCACTGAGGGAGTAGAATAGATTACTTGTAATTGAAATGGATTAGAGAACATTTGTTTAATTTTTTTGGCTGGAGAGTTTAGAAAGACATTTGAGTTGAACCTCGAAGACCGAATAGGATTTAGACATTGAGAGGTAATGGGAGGGGAGGACTTTTCTAGCCACAGGGGAGAGAGCATGAAAAAAAGCCAAGATGACTGGAGAATGTGGGCATGTGTGGAGGCCTGCAAGCACTTAACAGAGAGTGCTGGGAAAGATTAGTAGGGTGACTGGGGCCAGATCCTGAAGGACTTGAGTGCTGGGCTAAGGAATTTGGTCTTTGTTTCATAGTCAGTGGAGCTGCTTTGGAGATTATTTTTTAGCAGAAGAATGAAATCCTTGGAGTTGTATTCTTGGATATGTTAGAGACAAGAGGCCGGAGGCTGGGGTATCAGTTAGGAGGCCATTGCAATATGTTTAGGAATAAATAATGGGTAGGGTAATGGTAGTGAGGATGAAAAAGAGGAAATGATGAAAAAATCATTATAATTTTACAACTAGTTTGTTGAAGTGGAAGGCAAGGTGTGGGGAAATCTCAGATTATTACAAGGTTTCTAGCCTATGTGTTTAGGACATACTATCGTTATACCACTTATATAAAAAGCAAACACAAGAGGAGAAATAATTTCAGGAAAAGTGAATTCAGTTGGAAATAATTTTAGGTATCAAAGAGATTGAGTTGACTAATGCACAGTTGGAATATGGGGATTGGAGCTTGATTAAGAGGCTAGAACTGGATGTAGACATCATGTCCGAAGAGGTTGTAGCTGAAACCAAAAATGGGTGAGGTTGCCGGATGAGGCCAAGAGATGGTAGAGAGGAGAGACGGAGGCTTGGCGGAGGGCTGAAAGTCCCGAGTACAGTTTCACCACATCAGGTCAGGGAGGGTGTTTCAAGGAGGAGATAGCGAACACTTCCGACTTGTTTAGGGAAGCTAGGAGGATAAGGGCGGTGCTAAGGCCATTATAGGGAAGAAGCCTCAGCTGTCAGCAGTGCCGGCGTCGCTTTCAAATAACAGAAAGGAGGGTTGGTACATTCCGACTTTCTCTTCCTATGACTCAGGTGGGAAGATTCGGAATCAGAATTAGGTGGTGGTAAGAATTCTAACATTTTCAGTCAAAAGTTTGCATTTAATGCAGAGAAAATAGGAGTTAATGAAAGATTACTGGGCACTGAGTAATGTGATTGACATGATCACCATGGAAAATGTGTTTATTTCCATTGTTGATCTTGTCTCACTTTAATGACTAGTTTATAAAGGCTTCATTTGAACGTACAGATTCTGATGAAGCAGATGATTTAAATAGCCTAACAAAGTTTTTTTCTTTTCTCCTACAAGATTAACTTTAAAATTTTAATTTGAGTACTAATGAGGGTGTCAGTTTCTGTAGTTACTGAGTCCTGAGTACATTCATTGTTCTTAAACCTTATAACAATCTTGAAAGGTAGGAATGATTATTTTATTGGTGAGATGGAGGCCGACAGGATTAAGTACCTAGGCTAGAGGCACGTGGCTAATTACCGCCGTGCTAGAATTTGATACAGAACATCTGTGGAGATCATCGCTCAGTGGGAAGCATTCCCGTTGAGCAGTGTTCTAGGGGTTTTGGCTTGGGAGGTAATTTCCAAATCTTTATCAGCTGAGGGCTTCCCACGGGGACCTGTTCTTAAGGAATTACTTGTGACATGTTTACGTCAGAAGTGACCTGTTAGGCTCCTTGTTGCCTCTCTGTGCCAGTAGGCCTGCTCTGTCTTCCTAACGAAAAACATTAGTCATGATATACTCCCTGCTTTGAATTCCTCAGGTCTTCTTACTTATAAGAAGACATCAAAACTCTTTAACGTGGCTTATGAGTTTCCTTTCTAGCCTCATTCTTCTGCCCTTTCCCCTAAGACTTCCGTGTTCCAGCAACACTACACATTTCACTCTCCCTGAGAGTACTGTGTCTTATAAAGTGAGGGTCCCCAACCCCAAGGCTGAGGACCGGTACTGCTCTGTGGCCTGTCAGGAACTGGGCCACACCGCAGGAGGTGAGTGGCAGGTGAGCCAGTGAAGCTTCGCTCACTGCCTGAGCTCAGCTCCTGGCTCTTCCCCTCCGTCTCCTGCCCTGTTTGGAGGAAAAATTGTCTTCTGTGAAGCCAGTCCCTCGTGCCAAAATGGTTGGGGACTGCTGTTCTAAAGCTTTCATCCTCTCGTCATACATCATCTGAGGATGTCCTTCCTTTCCTTCTGTGCTTATGTTTAGGTTTAATTTATCCATCACCTCTTTCAGCCTTTCCTGACTCCTTGGGTTAGTAAGTTATGCCTTGTGTAGTGTTCTCACTGTGTTTTGAAGGGGCTCGTTAAAGCCCTAATCACATTATTATGTACTTGTGTGTCTCATCTCTGGATTTTGAGCTTGTCTAGAATAGAGAGCATGTTTTCTGACTGTTCAGTCTTCCTCTGCCCCCAGTTCCTCAAATACTTATTCAGCGTCTGCGTTGTGCTCAGCGTTGTGTCATTGCATAAAATGTGGAAGCATGCAGTCAATTTCTTTGCTGTTAGATATTTTCTTTCTTTTTTTCTTTCCTAGGTCGTGATATCATTGGGCTGGCAGAAACTGGCTCTGGAAAAACAGGGGCCTTTGCTTTGCCCATACTGAATGCGCTGCTGGAGACGCCCCAGCGTTTATTTGCTTTAGTTCTCACTCCCACCCGAGAGCTGGCCTTTCAGATTTCTGAGCAGTTTGAAGCCTTGGGGTCTTCTATTGGAGTGCAGAGTGGTAAGTGTCTAAGAGGAAAAGGGTCTTAGGGTTTCTTCACTAGTTGAGAGTGAGTGTAAAAGGAGAATGGAAGGAGGTATAATTAACATAAGTTTATTAACCAAAAAGCCGATTTGGTATTTTAGCTTTGGGGAAAGTTGTAAATTTAAGGGAAGAACAAATTTAAGTTGAAATATAGCATTGGCTTTAAGAGATGATCAGTGAACTATGGAAAATATGAAGTATCTCTTTTCTATGGTCTTTTTTTTTTCCCCCTGTAGCTGTGATTGTAGGTGGAATTGATTCAATGTCCCAATCTCTGGCCCTGGCAAAAAAACCACATATAATAATAGGTGAGTAATTGCCAAAGGTGAAAGGCATTGGCAGTGATGAATTAGAGAAAATCTACCAGTGTTGGGTGCAACTTACTTGTGTGGAAATGTTAGTGGCGAATGTGGACCTGGGTTTTTGAGTTTGGCTAAGAAAGAATTCAGAGCCAAGAACTCTAGCATAGGAGTAAGTTTATGTAGCAAGTCAAGCAGAAGTACACTCGAAAGGAATAATCGAGCTGACCCAGACTGTCGGAAAGGGCTCCTTTTAACCAGGGGGGTCTAACCACTTCTTCTGTAAGCTGACCTATTGGGGCTTGTCTGGTTGTCGTTGCCTGTGTTTGTATGGGAGGCAGATGAGGCTATTCTCCAGCCCCTTTAGACCTCCAGGGGTCTAAACTGCATGACCGGTAACATGCTAGGGGAGGAAGGGTCACCCTGGGGACAAGGTCCTAGCCTGTAATAGTTGTTTCTCTAGTTTTGCCCCTTGCTAGGTACCCGGGACTTTCTGCCCTGGTGACATTCTGTACATTGCTGCTCTCTTCATGTCTAACTGCCTACTCCATCGGAAAGTCTTTGAAGAACAGATTTTTTTTTAAAAAAGATTTTATTTATTTTTAGAGAGAGGGGAAGGGAGGGAGAAAGAAAGGAAGAGAAACATCCATCGGTTGGTTATCTTCTGCACATGCCCCAACTGGGGACTGAATCCATGACCTGGGCATGTGCCCTGACCATGAATTGAACTGGTGAACTTTTTGCTTTGCAGGATGACACCTAACCCACTGAGCCACACTGGTTAGGGCTGAAGAACAGATTTTTGTGATCCTCTTTAGTTTTTTAATTTCTGAAATTGTGGGGAAGAGGAGGGACTTGGTAACTTTCTTCCTTTTTTGTTGTCTTTGTTCTTGACCATGATCTTTCTCCTCAACCTTTCTTGGCAGCAACTCCTGGTCGACTGATTGACCACTTGGAAAATACAAAAGGTTTCAACTTAAGAGCTCTCAAATACTTGGTCATGGATGAAGCAGACAGAATATTGAATATGGATTTTGAGACAGAGGTGAGCTCTCAGTTTGTTTCCTCTTAGAGCATTTCACATTCCCTGTTTCAAAATTCGGTTCATTTCTCGCTGTTGTGTGTGGAGTGCTGCATCGTCATCAGCTGATTTAAACATCTCTGCTGCCTTGTTCATTCTTGGTGTTCTCCCGTCCTTAGTGTCTTAGCCTCTTCTTTAGAATGTAGTCTGACTGATTTCAGAGATGAGGAATATATCAAAACCAGGTGTTATCTTCCATTTCATTGGATTTAGGCCTCTTCCATGTACCTTGAACTATCTGTTGTTGTCTTTTGATGATCTCATCATAGTTTATTTGGTTGATTAATACCCATTCTTGACTTTTCTCTTAGATCAGTTCTAATCTACTAATTTAAATTGTTCATTTTCTCTGAATCACATTTTTTGATAGCTTCTGGCATGGTGTCAAATAGTAAATATTTCATAAATGGTTGCTGGACTGAACTGAATTTTTGAGGCCCCCCCCCCCCCCCCCCCCCCCGCAGTGCTGTATTCAGTTTGCTGCTCTAGTCTCTGTCTCCTTCACGAGGAAGGAGTGATTGCAGGTGTCCACTTGAAATGTTAATTGATAGCCTTTCCTTTTGGCCTTAGGTCGACAAGATTCTCAAAGTGATTCCCCGAGATCGGAAAACATTTCTCTTCTCTGCTACCATGACCAAGAAGGTGCAGTTTCTAGGACTTCTTATTTCTTTCTTAAAGAATTGATAAATGAAAACAGCAATCGTAATAGTAAAAATAGAAAGAGCCTGTGGGAATCTGTACTATTCCAGGTTTTTTTTTCTCTAGGTGCAAAAACTTCAGCGAGCAGCACTGAAAAATCCTGTGAAATGTGCTGTTTCCTCTAAATACCAGACAGTTGAGAAGTTACAGCAATATTATATTTTTATTCCCTCTAAATTCAAGGTAAAGTGTTTACTTTGGTCATTTCTGCCTCTCCCTCTCTTTCCTCACTAAAGTATCTGAAAATGTATCAGCTCTTGATTAGCTAAGAGCTGTGCCGAAGATTGGAGTCCTTTCTGTTTGCTTTAGAGAGTATGCTATGATGTGTTTATCTCTGGTAGAGCCAAACATTCCAGGAATTCACAACATACTAAATAAACCACAGTAATGAAGTCGTGATATAATTCCTTCCCAACCCCATCCTTGAGGTAGTTTTTGTTTTATGTGCTTATTATGTGGCTTTTTTATAGTTGAGGGACCCTTGTGCTGGACCTTAATGTGAGGACTTCTGGTTGCTGAGTGCAGGTCTCTTGGTGCTCAGCTCCAGGCTGTATGTGAGGTGCCTGGCTCACAGAGGTGATAATGCTGGTTGAGGAGTGCAAAGCTGGCAGCTGGGAGTCTGCACAATTGAGCAGCAGCTGTAAACTTAGTCCTTTATGTCATTTACCTCAGTGTTTGCTTAGGGCTCCAACCTTTTCTTCCAGGTTCAATTACATATATATTGTTTTGGGTTTGTAACTTAGGATACCTACCTGGTTTATATTCTAAATGAATTGGCTGGAAACTCCTTTATGATATTCTGCAGCACCTGTAACAATACTCAGAGAACAGCCTTGCTACTCCGAAATCTTGGATTTACTGCCATCCCCCTCCACGGACAGATGAGTCAGGTAAAGATTCCTTGGTGTCATCAGTGAACTGGTGGCATAAGAAAGATAAACCGTATAGTGATAGATTTGTACAACAGCAACACATGACATTAATGCATTTTCTAGTAATTGTTTAATCATGGGCTTTGAAGTGTTCTGGATGTTTACTTCCTCCTCTCAGGATAGTGGGAAGCTTGATTAGAGTATTCCTAGGTGGTTGTCTGGAATGGAAGCTATTGAGTTGATCTTTTTAGTTGTAACAGTGATTCTCTGGTCTCTAAGGATTTTTAATAGATTATTTTCCAATTACCCATCATGTTAAAAAATTCTTATTGCATGTTAGTATTTTCTAGCCTTATTCTTAAATATTTTTTTGTTGCTTCTGTGTTTCCTTTTGACTTGTGAATCCAATCTGGACTTAAGGGGAAGTATAGTTTAAAAAGTTTCTGTCTCTTGTATTAGCATGTCTAGGTGGTATGTCTTAGATTCCAAGAGTCCTTAAATTATTTTCATTTTTTTTTTTCATCATTTCAGAGCAAGCGTCTTGGATCCCTCAATAAGTTTAAGGCAAAGGCTCGTTCCATTCTTCTAGCCACTGATGTTGCAAGCCGAGGTTTGGACATACCTCATGTGGATGTAGTGGTCAACTTTGACATCCCTACTCATTCCAAGGTAAGTCCTGTCGCTGATCTGACTTTCTAGTGCCAAAGTATATTTTCTTTTTCAGTTGAGGTATAATTCACATATAACAGTATATTAGTTTAAGCTGTACATCATAAGATATTGGTATTGGTATGTATGTATTTGTAAGATTTGATCATTTGTATAAAATGATCACTATGGTAAGTCAAGTTAACATCCGTAACCACATATAATAACAGATTTTCTGGGTGTGCAATAAGAACTTACAAGATCTACTCTCTTAGCAACTTTCAAATATACAATGCAGTATTAATAATGATGGTCATCATGCTGTATATTATATTCTGATGGCTTTTTAATTTTATGACTAGAAATTTGTACCTTTTACACCACCTTCACCTGTCTCACTCCCCCACCCCCAACCCTGACCTCTGGCAGCCTGAGCTCAGTTTTTTGGTTTTTGTTTTAGATTTGGCATATAGGTTAAGGTCATACGGTATTTGTTTTTCTTTGACTTATTTCACTTAGCATAATGCCCTCAGGATCCATTCATGTTATCACTAATGACAAGATTTAATTCTTTTTTTTTAATGGCTGAGTATTATTCCATTGTATCCAGAGTCTATTTCTCAAGGAAATGTTTTCTGTTTTTCCTTAGTTACAATATCTTTTTTTTTTTTTGTCTATGATTAGTTAAGTATCAGAAACTGGGAACCCTCCTGGTTTGTTCACTCACCATTTTGCGTACACCCGCAGATAGGATGTCAATACATGTGAATGAAGGCAGCTAAAGAGAGGGTTAGATGCTCACGGTCAGAGAGCAGATGCAACACGTGCTGAGCTCCGTCAGTCTCGTTTCTTTACAAGTGACAGCTTGTGGTTCTTAGGGTTTCTCAGCCTTGGCACTGTTCACATCTGGGGCTAGTGAGTTCCTTGTTGTGGGGCTGGCCCTTGTATTGTAGGAAGCTTAGCAGCATTCCTGGCCTCCAACCGCAGGTGACATTGTGACAAACAAATATGTTTTCAGACTTTTCCAAATACCCCCCGGGGAAGGCAAAATCGCCCCTGGCTGAGAACAGCTGGCCTCTCTTGGCCGTATATTTAACTGCTGTATACAAGGTGCTGTCTGCTTCATTTGATTCTCACAGTAACTGTGAGTTTGGGAATGCCTTCCTGTCCTGTTTTGTAGATAAGAAACCAAGGTTCAGAGAGATTATGTGACTTGCAGATAGTTGTATGGCTGGTAGGTGGTAAAACCAGAGCGGTGACCTAGCTCTGCCTCTAGATCTAATGCTGTTTTTTCCCACGCCATGTTAATATGCTTTGGGACCAGGTGGATATGCCTTGTAGATGTACCGTAAAAGAAAGGAAAAGCCCTGGCCGGTGTGGCTCATTTGGTTAGAGCATCGTCCTGTACGCTGAAAGGTTGTGGATTTGATCCCCAGTTGGGCCATGTGTGGAGGGCAGCTAATTGGTGTTATTTATAGTTCACGTGACTCAAATTTACCCTTTTTGTTTCAGGATTACATCCATCGAGTAGGTCGAACAGCTCGAGCTGGGCGCTCTGGAAAGGCTATTACGTTTGTCACCCAGTAAGTGAATGGCTTTAGGGGCAAAGCGGTGTAGAGCAAAGAGCAGAACTTCGGAGTAGACTGACTGGGAACCTCCCTCCACCAGTTACTACAGTAGTTACTTAACCTCCCTTAATCCTATTTTCTTCATTGTAAAATGGAGATGGTAACACCTACCTTTGGAAAAGCCTGAAATCATGACTTTGTCACTGTGCCTCCTGTGGGTGGAGGCCAGGAACACTGCTGAGCACCCCACAGTACAGAGGACAGCCCCACAACAAAGAACTCACTGCGGCAAATGTTAGTGAAGATTGGAGATGTACTTGGACAAGGTCTAGTATAGTGTTTGACACCCAGAAGGGAAAAAACAAAGCCCTTTTATTTCTTTAACTGCTAGAGCCAAAGAGCAGTACCTTTCCCTCAACTCATAGAATTGGAATAACTATTTCTGATACTATTTTTAGGGGAACAGATTTTACATACCCAGTGCTTTTCTGGGAGTAAAGGCCGTTGGGTGGTTTTCTAGTGTGCTGTGCACAGAAGGTTGCTTTTAGGAACATTAGATTCAGTATGGCTTGAACACTGTCGCATGGTATCATGTATCGTACAGTTTTGGAATGGGCCGACATTTGCATGGTCATTCCCCCAAAGCATGCCAATTTCCCTTCCTCAGGTATGACGTGGAGCTCTTCCAGCGCATAGAGCACCTGATTGGGAAGAAACTTCCTGTCTTTCCAACACAGGATGACGAGGTTATGATGCTGACAGAACGTGTGACTGAAGCCCAAAGATTTGCCCGAATGGTATGCAACTTACTTTTTACCAACTTCTTTGCAACTGAATGTTACTCTGCTAGATACTGTATTGTGTTAGTCCTCATAAGAAACTGCAGGAGCTGGATAATATTTTATTCCAAATTTAAGATGAGCATGCTAAAGCTTAGCGATAGTCGGTCCATCATTAGACCATACAACCAAGTGGTCGAATCGGTTCAGACTCAGTCCGACACAGTGACCATGTTCTCAGCCACTGTTCATATTTCACGTGTGGACTTATGATCAGAAGGCCTAGCTGTGAGCTTGGACAGTGTGTCTGAGTTCTCAAAAGCAGTTCCTTACCGAGCAGTTCCTAGCCCGATTTAGGGCACTATACTTACATTGAACACCTCACATGGTTTTATGAGCACCAGATACACTAATATAAACGGCACAGTTACTAACAATAACAGTAGTAGTGGAGATGAGAAGATCCTAAAGGAGAAGCCTTGCTAGCGTTACCTGCTCCCAGGAGTAAATGAAACATAAGCTATCCCCTTCAGAGAACCATTGGTAACCTTTGACTATTTTTCTTTCTTTAGCCATAATTAGACTTTATCTAATCACATATGATTAACATTTTTTGATCTCAACAAATATAGATCCATGTGATCATTTCTTCATGGCTACAAGGAATTCTGTTACTGATATGTAACATGATTTACATTGATGTGTATTTATGTTTTCTCTAATTTTTTTTGCATTTTAGCTAGCACTAGGTTGAACACCGTAGCATGTACAGCTTTGCACACTTGTCTGTTTCCTTCGGATAGTTCGTAGAAGTAGAACTGTTGGGCTAAGAACTGTCCAGTTAACGTTTGAATTGACCTCGAATGCCGTGTCGCCCTGTAGAAAAGCTATAGTAGTTCACTCCACCAGCGAAAGTAGATGTGAATGTCCTCACATTTTGACCAATACTAGGTATTACTATTCTCTTAAATTTTTGCTAGTCTGCCATGTGAAAATAATATCTTATGGTTTTAACTTTTTTATGTTTGATACTAGTAAGGTTAACATTTTTGTGCATTGGGATTTTGGTCTTAGCCCTCGCTAATGTGAGGTTTTAGGGAGGGAGAGCAGGAAGTGTTAACCATCAGTGAGAGTAATTCATTGTCAGTGCCATCCTTCTGCTTTCTCGCAGGAGTTAAGGGAGCATGGAGAAAAGAAGAAACGTACGCGGGAGGATGCGGGGGACAACGATGACAGGGAGGGCGCCGTTGGTGTCCGGAACAAGGTGGCCGGAGGCAAAATGAAGAAACGGAAAGGCCGTTAACCTCTTTCACCAAGACTTGATTTCTGCTCCATTTTGTAAAAAGGGGGCTGAAGAAAAGAAAGAAGCCTCCAGCAGAGTTCTTCAGACTGAAATCTGTCCGAATTATGTCCAGAATCTGCCAGCCGATTCAGTAGTTACTCCCCTTTCTACGCGCTGGAGTGCTGGTACCGCCGGACGTCGTTCACAGTGCCGATGGCGGGTCGTTCCTGTTTTTCAGCTCTGGTTCTTGTGACATGAGGAGGACGTGTTGTCCTGTCACTTCACACAGACCTTTTGCTTTCTTCAGCTTCAAGTCACGGACCAAGTTGATGAAGTGCTTGACCTGTAATTGTAAAGAAGCTCTTACGTTTATGAAATGGTGATATGTAAGCAGTTTCAGCTTATGCTTTGTTAGACATAATGTGAAATAATAAATTTAAATATTACTTTTAAAATATTCAAACTTATTGAAGACATTTATAGGTTGAAGGACTTAATGTATTTAAATAAGATCTTGCTCATGGGTAGGAAACTAACAGTGGTGGATACATGCCAGATTCATTGGTTGTCCTTAATTTAAACATTATTTATGACTTTGAAAGTCAGTCAACAAAGGAACAAGATGATGGATAGCTTTGAAAGAAATTCCAGCTAAAAGGAGGTTGGTTATGTTTTTCTTGCGGGTGGAGCAAAGTCCATAAGTAAGAGAAGCATTCCTTAGATCCCTAAATAGATTCACTTCCTTGGCCTCTTGGATTAAGCAGGTGGTTGGGAAGACTGATTTTTTATATAGATTCTTATCCCCAGGTGACGCAATTAAAATCAGGAAACACCATTATTATAGGGGAATTCCAAGCCCAATTTCATGCACTTTTTATTGGTGGCCATTGGACACTCTTTCTTTTCTTTTGGCCTCATCTATTGGTTAGTTTAATTCAGGAGATGTAAAAAGCTGGGGCATTGGCTGCTGGGAGGAAGTAGACATTGGCACTGTAGGGAGTGGGTGGGGCGGGGGAGATCAGAAATGTCTTTGTGCTTCCAGTCGTGCACTGTCGTGCTCTGAGGGCTTTTATACATAGAAGGTGCCTGATCAGTTTTGTCGAATGTAGCATTTTTATTAGAAGGGAGTGTTGAGTGGCAGAACCAGGATGAAGCAATTCCAATAGCTTCAGATCAAGAATAAGTTTTGGCAGGAGAGAAACCTTCCATATTCATCTAAATGAAAGTGAATGGGTCAAAATTGTGTTTCTTGGAGTCAAAGTGGTGAGAAGTGAAAAGTAGATGTAAGTGAAATTCTCCATGGTGGCCAGATGTGAACTGTTGATTACAGGAAGGTTTTTTGTAAATACAGGTAGTAGGGTGCTTTCTACCACAAATATATCCTAAGATGGTGCCTGTGGATGAAACATGTAAAGTTAATTGGAATCTAACTCATGGCTTATTTTGTTAAGTTTGCCTCAAATTTCATTGCTGCTCGTGGTGCGTTTATGTGAAGGCCAAGTTAGAGGATTCAGGAGGCAATGAAAAAGGAAAGGAGAAAAAGGGTGGAAGGAAAGGAAGAGGCAGACAGGTGGGTGGGACTGTATTTGGGACTGTGTGTTACGAATTGTGGCTACCACTGGAGGCTAGTTCTCCATTAAATGTATTTTCCAGATGGGAATCTCCAGGATGGCTTAGGATAATGGTGACCCTTTCTCTCTCAGCCAGTGGATAAAAGCAGATTGACGGTTGCTGCTTCAGCTCAGCGCGTGATGGCAGAAGCAAGCTGAAATTGGGGTACGGGTGGTGGGTAAGGAGGAGAGATTGGAATTCTCCTGAAGGAGTCTGAACTTTTCAACAGACAGGGGTCTCTACCAAGGGTCTGTGGACCACCGAGGTCCACAGACCTCGTATATGCACTACCACTAAAGCTTAGCTGTTATTTCTAAAATGTTGGGGTGGCCAAAAAGTTTGTTTTTTTTTTCTGTGAGATGGCTAGCAGCCCTTAGTTGCCTTTAACTTCATTCGAAACAATTTTGTTAGATTGCATTGTGACAGCTGTCATATCAGCGTGCATTTAAAAAAACTTATCTCCTTCCTTCCACTTCCTTTCACACTTTCTTTCATCTTTCTTTTTCTGTTTTCTTAATTAAAGTATTACAGAGATTTAAATAATATAAATATTTTTTTGTCCAGTTTTGACACTGGGCCAAATTATCCAGGGACTCAGTGATAGTTCTATTCTTTCCACTAGTTTGCTTTTCTTTTTATTTTTTTGCTTTTTATTCATTAAACTTTTTCTCTTGGTCAAAAATAAATAAATAAAACTTATCAAAGTTGGTGAATTTTTGTGTAGCCATTTTAATATTGAACACGAAGGGAAATAGGCGACATTTTTGGCATGTTATGCTTTATTATTTCAAGGAAGGTAAAAGCACAACTGAAATGCAAAAAAGAGTTGTGCAGTGAATGGAGAAGGTGCTGTGACTGAACGTGTCAAAAGAAGTTTGCGAAGTTTCGTGCTGGAGATTTCTTGCTGGACAATTCTTTATGGTTGGGCACATTTGTTGAAGTTGATGGCCATCAAATTGAGACATTAATTGAGAACAATTGATGTTATACCACATGGGAGTCAGCTGATATACTCAAAATATCGAAATCAATAAAGTTGTTGGTGAAAATGAATGATGTGTCTTTTGCTTTACAGGAAAAGCCATATGGACTTTTTGGCCAACCCAATATATACTTAATTGTGCTTTGCTAGGATGGGAAAATGGGACACTAAGGGAAGAAAAAAATGTGGATGGTGTGCCTTCAGGCATAGCAGTGGTCCAGACCGTAAGTTAGAGTCCCAAATGTAACAAATAAAAATGTCATTGTGAAGAGCAGGAGTCACAAACAAGTATGATGCATTAGTAAGTAAGGACACGGCCGTGGGTTTGTGTCATTGTTCAGCGCCATGGTCTCTTGTAAGAAGGTTGCTGAGTCTTGCTGCTGAAACCCTTACTGAGGTGTGTATGAGTTTCCTGGGGCTGCTGTAACAAAGCACCACAAACCGGGTGCCTTAAGACACCAAAATACATTGCCTCATTGTCATGGAGGCTAAAAGTCTGAGATCGAAGTATGGCAGGGCCATGCTTCTGAAACCTCAACAGAAGAATCCTTTCCTCTTCCTACTATGGTAGTTGCTGGCACTGGTTGGTGCACCTTGGCTTCTGGCAGCACAAGTCCAGTCTCTGCCTCTGTCTTCACATAACACTCTTCGTGTGTGTGTCTTCACCTGGCCTCGTAAGGAGACCAGTCACTGGGTTTGGGGCACACACTAACCCAGTAGGACCTCATCTTAACCAATGACAGTTGACCCTTGAACACCACAGGTACATGTATATACTCAGATTTTGTTCAATAACTCCTTATCCCTGGATTCCATGGTTGGGAATCTGTCGGTGTGGAAGGCCAACTACATGCCTTGTTCTACACCATTTTATGTAAGGGATTTGAGAGTGCTGGTGTTGGTATCCTCAGTGGGTTCTGGAGTCAATCCATCTTAAATACCAAGGGACAGCTCCAGTTAATTTTGGGGGGAGTCAAAAGTTATATGCAGATTTTCAGCTGCACGGGGCGGTGGAGGGGGTGTCGCACCACTAGCTTCTGTGTTGAAGGACCAGCTGTGCACCTACCTGCAAAGGCCCTGTTTCCAAAGAAGCTCACAGAATCTGGGGTTCCGGGTAAACATGAACTTGGGGGTACACTATTCGACCCATTACAAATGCTCTCTGAATTATGTTCTTTAGGGTTTAAGCTTGCATTGTGAAATAGAAGTGGTACAGTTAATTAGAAAGAAAGTGGAGACAGGAAATAGGTCTCCAGACCAAATGGTGGGATGGGTAGAAGTATAGGAGTTTAAAATGACTTTGTTTTATTTATTTATTTTTAGACAGAGGGGAAGGGAGGGACAGAAACATCAATGTGTGGTTCCCTCTTGAGTGCCCCCTACTGGGGACCTGGCCTGCAACCCAGACCTGTGCCCTGACTGGGAATCGAACCAGTGAACCTTTGATTCACAGGCTGGCACTCAATCCACTGAACACCAGCCAGGGCTAAAATGACTTTGTTTTAAATGAAAAGTAAATTGTCTTGCAGTCAAGGAACCTACAAATGACTAGTTTAGGAATGGGGAAGAAGTTCTCTGGCCTTTGTTCTGTTAAGAAGCAGCTTCAAACAATTGACCTCTCCCCCTCTCCCAATTGCAAAAAACCCACGCCTTACCTTTTAAGACTTAATAAAGGGTGTATCTGAATAGTCACGTAATGCTGGTCCAGAAAAAAATTGATCTGTTCCCCATCTGAATCATAAAGCCACGTTATGTAGTATTCATTGTGTCATGGCTTTGTGATTCCAGCTGGCCTGGTTCTGCCTCTTCCGTACAGGGCTCAAGTGAGATGAGAACACCCGGCCTTACGACGGAGAGCTAGGGTCCCAGCCCTGGGGTTTCGGTTGGACAGGCTCTTCCAGGCTCACAGCGGGTCCCAAATGCCAGTCCCTCTTGAATTTAAGGGCACTCGGAGGGGATGGTAGTAGTTGCCAGAAGGGGCCGAGACTCACCAAATCATGATTCTTTCTCAGTCCCTAAACAATGCAAGAGATATCTAAGAACTTGGCTGACTCTGTAGACAGCTTACGTCCAGAGTGTTTTCCAGGTAGCTTCTCACCTGCAGATATGTAAAAAAAAAACAAAAACAGAAAACCAAAGTCTAAATCAGATAATCTAAATCAAGATACTCTTTTCCCCAGGTCCTTCAAAGGCCTGGGAAATGGGACCAGAAAGAACCACAGGGTGTGGTATTGGTTACAGAAAACGAAGGCATCCAAGTAAAAGCAGGTAACAAAATATCATCAAGAAAGTATGTTCCAGAGGCTTGGATACAGAGCTATGGAATGTATAAGAAGTTTTAATCCACATAGTTCTTAAGGTGAAATGTAGCCTTAGGACGATAGAGGGCCAGGGTGTGAGTCACCCCTCTTTGGCTGGAATGATAAGAGACTCAGACCCTGGCACTGGAGATTCAAGGGTTACCCACACCCACATTCCTTTTCCTGCCTCACCTGGCCCAGGTATGTAGTAAAACTCCAGCTAAAAATAACTAGAAACTTGAACTCCAGAAAATAGCATTGAACAGTCTCACCTAGAGTAGAGAGCTGATTTGCGCCAAGTGGAAGAGAGACAGAAGAAAGGGGGCTCATTGGAGACCATGTAGTCTCTGTGATGCGGGCCCTGATGTCGGCTCAGAGTGAAGTGTTTTTCTGCTCATAGCCATCCATCCACCTGATTCCAGCAGAAACCTACTGCCCTTCATTAACCTCTGGGCGCCATCTAGGGGCTGGAAGAAACCAGAGGGGTGGGGGAACACCAGGAAGTGTAGGGCAAGTGTTATTTGAGACCTGTTCACTCTTGTGGTATAATCTTGTGGGTTACTGAACCTCGATTTTTCTCATTTGCTAATCTGGACATTAAGAGCATGTATCCTGTCTGACTCAGTGTCTTGAACTTAGTTTTATTTGGTCATTAAATTCTGTTCCTTTCCTCCCGTCCAGTGTCGGCTGTGTCCTAGCCACCATGCCAGGTAGTAGGAAGACTATCCAGGGGAAGGTCAGATGCTGCCGCCTTTGTAGAACTGTCTTAGCGGAACTCAGCCTATGCACTCAGTTGTGATTGCGATCGGCACCCAGCGGGCAGGGACCATGGCTTATTCACGGACGTGCCTTTGTGACCTTGCAGGCCCAGCACACAGTGAGTGTTCAGTGTCTGTCATTTCTAAAACATACTGTGTGTCAGCAGCTTTACCTGCACTGAGTCTCACTTCTTGGACAATCCCAGAAGGTGGGTATCATCCTTCCACTTACGAACTATGGAGTCAGACTGTCAGATTTGCTCCTTACTAGCAGGGAGACCTGGGGCCAGTCATTCAACCTTTTCACGTCTCGGTCTCTGTATTTGAAGAGCCACAGATTGTAACGTGCCTACCTCACAGGGTTGTGTGGTTTACTGTGGCTCGTCATCGTGACAAATGCATGTTAGCCATCATCACGATCACTGTTGTCACTAGGATCACAGATGAAGAGTGGCTAAGGTAGCTTGCCCTGTACACAGGTGATAGGGGATAAGTACAAATTGGAAGCCTCTAGTCTGCATATCCACTGTGTTTAGGTGCACGTAATCTCATGTTATCCATTCCACACATGCTTATTGAATGAGAGACTGGACCATCCTTTATGATATATACATATATATATATTTTTTTCCTTTCCAAAAATGTCTTCCACCTAATAAGTAAGTAGTACCCAAATGCACTTTCAGACTCCAGCCTGTTTGCAAATCAGGAATAGCCAGGTGAGAGACTGTATTTCCATTTCTACCAGTAGATGGCAGAAGGAGGAAAAGATACTCTGGAGCAGGAAGGAATTTTCATTCCCAGCAGAGTGATTTAATAGTGAGAAGTGATTGCAACACAGTGACTAATTAAAAGGACTCTCTGTGATATTTGTTCCACAGTGACGAAGGGGTGGGAGTCAGGGTGGGTATGAGAACTACCTGGAGGTATTCGAAGGGTGTCCACCTTCAAGAAGATCTGCTGGGTTGACCCAGAAGATGGGGAATGGGAAACCAAAGTAAACCAAAGTTCAGGTGCAGTGAGAAGAGCCAGATGCGTTCCACTGTCATCTCTTCCTTACAGTCCCCGTGTGTGCAGTTTCCTCCTGCTCACAGCAGCTGTGTCCTTTTCAAAAGTCTGCCCTTGTCTTCTGGGATTTGGATGAAGTTGCTGCTCTCTGTTTATGCCCTCCTCCTGCCCCCATCCCCGTCTGTAACCCAGGAACACTGCTGCTCCCCCCACCCCATCTCCCCCCAGTCCATGTTGTTTGTGTTTATGAATGTAAATTCGCTGATCCATCCATTCCCTTTCATTGTATCTCTCTCTCTCTCTGTTGAGTAAGCTTTGTCTACAGCCCTCCATCAAATAAGCTTGGTGGTGGGCAGCTGGCGGGCCGCTGGTTTGTTCATTCGTTCTAGGCACACACCTGTCTGTCACCTCCATTGTCCCTGCCATTGCAAAAGAGTAGCCACAGCAGTCGTTTGTGTTGGTCAGAAATGCCAGGCTCACTCCAGTCTGATCTCTGCGCTGGCCCTTCTCCCCCACCATTACCCACAGGGGAGGAGCCTATTCCTGCTCAACCCCTGACCTCTGGGAAACTCTAACCCAAGCAATCGAATCCAGTGCCAACTTCCAGCCAACATCCTTGTTGTGTTTCTGGGTGGGTCAAGAGAGTAGGGCCCATGAGAGGGTTCCATACATTTCTCTCTGTCCATCTGTGACGGTTTGTTCTGGTTCTTTACGGTCAGGCTGTGGAGGGCTTGCTGCACTGTAGGCATTCGCTGGGTGCTTGTTATGTAGCATTTTATTTCCTGGAGCCAAGGAGTCATTTCTTGAAGAAACATTGAAAAGCTTGTCTGTGGTATTTTAAAACCACCACCTGGCCATTTCTTACTGGGCATCCTCTATGATTTCCTAAATTCATCCCAGGGTATTCAGGAGCGCTTCAGGGTGAACTCCTGCTCGCCAAAGGAAGTAGAGATTTGGTCACATCATAGTTAATCTACGGCTTCTGTTTTCATTTCACTGATTTTG